CCCTTTGAGGGTCACGCAACCCTTTCACGGGGGTCGCCTAAGTCCATTGGAAAAGACACATTTCCGATGCCGATGATCTTATAAAACCGATTGATTTGGTCCTGCTAAAAACCTGACATGTCATCCCCCTTCAAACAATCACCCAATAATAAAGCTGAAACGACAGTGAAAACTATTGCACAAATCAGCTCGTTAACGGGTAATCGTGGATTATAAATAATGCATACTTTGGAAGAAAAGACAAGGCCAGTAAAAATTTAAAAGACAAAAATTAAAAGGACTTCCTAAATATCACGTGATGCGCTTAACCAAAGGCAAGTAAGAAAAACGTAAAAAGAAAAAGACTATATGGCAAATTACCGATGCACAAATCACACCGAACATTAAATGCTACTATTGTTATCTACAATAACTCTAAAGTGAAAATTTAAAGGCAAAAAAAATATTGGTTTAGGATGAAGAATCTTTGTAGTTATAATACATGGGGTAAATATAGTCATTGTTCAAGTTTTATGTGATAAGAATCAAAATGTGAGAGGAAATTTTAGGATTAAGTTTTAGTAGCCTTCGTCTACAATCAGTAGTATAGTTATAGTGCCTATATGAGAGTAAGCTCAGCGTGCAATCTTACTCAGCTAGGATTCCGTTAAAAATTGCTTCTGATCAACGATGATTGCCGGATAAAGGCAAAAAATTAAACGCAAAATAAAAAGTATGCTCGTGTACTTGATATATTCTTGTTGATATTCTTGTTTAGATAATCCAGGAAAGTAAATCTGCTAAACTCCCAAAAATTAGTATCCGTATTTATGAATCTACACAGGAGCCAGTATGATCAATTCATTGATCGGTGGCCCTCAAAATACAAAAGGAGAAGAAGATGTTACAAAGAGTTCACAGTTGCTTCTTTACGTGAGGTATACGAATTATGGCGACTTTAAAGATTATTTTCTTTTTCCAAACTTCTTTAAAGGACAAATACTGCACGTGATGTATTTTACACAGTTGGTTTACTTCTGAAAGATCATACGTTCTCGAGGGAAAAGGCGTTGTGGTATTTGCACATATAGTGCTCCAGCAATGCTAGGATGTCTACCATAAGATATCTTAGGAAAGGGCTTGTAAATGGTGCTACAGTTACGCTAGGATTTCGATCTGAATTTCAATGTTTGGTACAGAATGAGTCACCAAAAGTCACGGAATTCACTGATAGATTCATCGGCAAATATTAGCAACGAAAGCACTGTCACAAGACATTTTTGGCTAAAAATAAAATGGATAAAAATAAAATTTACATGTTGCCTATCTTATCTGGTTTCTTTGAGGAACATGACATTAAACCAGACAAAAGGATTACGATGATAAATTATGTGAAGGAACAATTGCATATGCTTGCAGACGAAATTTCATCGTTGTTTTCAAATCTACCTGACACTATTTTGTACTTGCCAGGAGTACATTCACAGTCAAAGTTGAATATTTTCATGCGTCAGCACAAGAGGAGTTCATTGAAATTATTAACAGTGATTCAGCGACAACTGATTTCTCCAAAATGCCAGTTACAAAATTATGGATCAAGTGTTTGCAGTCGTAGCCTAATCTGTCCGAGACTGTGTTGCGACATCTTCTTCCATTTCCAAAAGCATATCTTTGTGAAACAGGGTTTTCCATCTTGTTGTTAATCAAGTCTAAATCCTCTTCGTTGTGCTCTTGCAAAGACTGCCCCGAGCATTACCGATCTTGTAAGAAAGAAGCAATCTCAACCTTCGCACTGACGTTGGCTTTTTACGTATACTGTCGCAAAAGGTAGCAATATAGTTTACTGTTATTATATTAAGACTGTTACCCATGATACACCATGTTTCAAGACAATATCTCATTTATATTTAATTAGAAATAACTATTTTACAATATATAAAAACAATTTTTTTGTGTGATTACAATCCCTACTTTTATTATGTTCAATTTGTAATAATGAAAATACATCCTACATATCATATATTTACATTATTATTCATAAATGAAGTAAAATTACAGCTTTGAAGTAGGAACGAACATAATTTTATGTTTGGGGGTCGCCACAACCCGAGGAACTGTATAAAGGGGTCACGGCATTAGATAGATTGAGAACCACTTTTCTAGAGGTTTTGCAAGGTTTGTTCAGGTTTAATAATAGTTCTGAACGACGATCCATTGCAAACAATATTTATTTCTTTTTGTCATACACACTCCAAACTACAATTTGCGATCTGCAAAGAAAACATATTTTAAATCAAATGTATAAATTATTTTGTACAAGCAGAAAGTCCATCTTAAGCTTAAAAATATAATATTAGCTAGTTACCCATTGCTAACAATAAAAAATGAACACAAAAAAATAATTTAAAAAAATGAATCAGCCCATTAAGGTAGGATCGTTTTCCCCTCGAGTGAGTATTTAGCCTTGTAGAAAAATGTCTTGCTATTGTGGAAAAAATATCTGAGAGCTTTCTTTTTAAATGCATATCCATAGACCCGTGAAGTCTTAGTACCATGTGCGATAAAACAAACCTGCACAGGTAGCGCAAGAAATTTAAAAATATTAGCTAATATTTCTTGACCTTTCTTAAACAAGATGAACACATACTTGGCAATGATAAATGGGTTTGTGAGTAAGATCAATATGCTCAAGGTACGATCAGAAAAAAGCACGAACATACAGTTGCATTCAGTATGTCAAAAAGGTGTTACAGCAATATTGCACCAAAAAGAAGAAAATAAATATGTATATAATTCAGTGCTATGCCAGCACCAAGCATAGTAAAGAAGATGGAGAATGAGCTTCAACTACAGTCCATAATAAGAAAATATCAAGATAAAGATAAAAATGTCTTAGCGGAGATTTAAAATCTAAGTTATGAAATCTAATCAAAGAAATGTGGGAATTATAAGGTGTTATGATTTTAAAGGGCGTAACAATAAATGCCAACACTCGAATACTTGTGTACATAAATGAGAACGATTGTGAGGCCAGTATATTCAAGCTTAAGAAAATCAAATTGGTTTACCATGAGAACAAAATAAAAACCGAATGTGAAACATGCGTATAAAAAAAAAGCATACGTCTATTTAAGACCTTAAATATTAAGAGAGAATGTTGACTAATATTTCTTCACGCCTATAAAAGGTATTTTCGGGCAATTAAAAAAAAAGAAAGTAAAACACGCATCGTTTTTATAAAGATTGAATTGTCACTCTTATAAAATAATTGTATGTAAAGAAATTGTTAACTACATTCATATATATGCACTATTCGTATCTTTGACCCAGATCTCCATATTTTGAAACATGAAAAAATAATAATGTTTTGTGTTCAAGAAAATCGCATTCACTATGCGTATTTGCCACCTTCATGAATTTTGAGATATGCATATCTTTTTTAAAGGTGTCCACAATGTGTCAACCCCTTAATCTTAATTTTCTGAAATTATTGCAACAAGTATTTATTTATATAAAAATTCAATCTGAAAACTTATTTTACAACAAATGTCCGATTGAGATAATTTGTAATTCATATAAAAATTGGATCCAAAATAGGTGGAATGCTTAACAATCAACATTTTATGGTTCTCAATAGATATGAATAAAGGGGACGATGCTTCTTGCATAAAGAAATTTACTTTCCGTAGACTAATTGACAGTCCACAAATTTCACAACCGTGTGAGATGCTATTTCCTATCACTTAAGACCTTCTTCTTTGTGCGATGTTAAGGAAGCATCGTAGCAAACAGCAGTTCTTGAGTTATTCCCTTTTTTAATCACATAATTTGCATCTAATATTTCTAGTTCTATCTCTGTTGTCAAAGAGGTGAGCAACAGGATAGCTAAAGCAGCATCAACTATGGCTGAATTGTATAAGCTGGTATGGAATTATTTCACTCTAACTTATAGTACAAAACTAAGCATCTAACTGACTTGAGTGCTTAGTACCCTCATTTATTGCAGTTATGTGTGTACTAAATATGCCAGTCATGATGGAGAACTTAACAGCATCCATCAAAGATGTCTGCGTTGCACTTTACGCATTCGATTGGGCGACAAGGTGCCTAACAAAAAGGTCTTGGAAGTTGCAAAAATATGTGCAATATTATCCGCTCTTAGGAAGAGGCGCCTACAAGATTAACCATGTAAGGTGACTTAAGGACAGTCGTATTCCTTAGAAGATTTTTTATGGAGAGTTTGAACAAGGAGAAGGCTTATTTGGACGGCCGCGATTTATGGACAATTAAATTGTGAACGGAGAATAAGGAAGCAAACATTAAAATCATGGAATGGGCGATCATTGCTGAGCAAAGTTCCAGGTCCAAATTTCAGTATGTTTGTATATAAATATATTGTTACGCACTGACTTGTATTGGGAGAAATTAATCTCCTATTTTAATTTAAATTGGCTCGTTGTAAACAGTGCCTAACAAAGGATGATACCGTTGAGTCAACAACTTTAAAGATACGACACCCTAAACAGTTTCAAGTTACAATTAATTAAGATTTATAAAGTCTTAAGATAATTACAAAAGAAAAGAAAATATAATTACAATCTTCAACTTACAGTATGGTAAGTCGGCTTTATCCCATTCCCTTCACATAAACTCACCAGTAAGATACTGCATCTTTTGACAGTTTTCTGAAAACTGTGGTGGGCACTTTGTCATGCCATCAAATGCGCATAATACGCTAAAGGCATTTAAGTGGAATCTGCTGTGAAAGGTGTATTTGATGAATAATCACTGCAATATAAAAGGAAACAGATCGTATAACGAATGCATCTTCTTACAATTCCATATTCAAAACGAACATAGAAGCTTCAATTTTAGTGCTTTTAAATCTAAACTATTCTTCTTATTATTTTTTATTTTTCTAAAATTATCTAGATGCTAGATCGATGATGAATCCTAATGATACTGAGATTAGTAATGATGAACTGGTCAATTACCCAATGGACTCAGACAACAAAATAGAAGAAATTTCAATCAACAAAAGTTCAGTTATAAGCCATGATCTTTTGGCCAAAGCAGGTAAACAAAAATAATACATTAGCTTATCTTTATTTTTAAAATGTAATGAGATACATTATAAAAAAAAAAAAATGAAAAGATGGGTAAGGCAAAATGAATGGTTTTGAGTGGTGCATTTTTATACTTTAATTCAAACGTTTTTTTTTTCATATTAACACATACAAGGACAATCTAAACAACATAGAAGGCCTTGGGCAAAGCAATACACTTGGTCCCTCTAATAAACAAACTCCCCAAGGTCTTGCGAAGGGTTCAGTCACCATAGGTGCAAACAATGTCAGGGTGCAGGGGGTTTCTTAAGCTAATCGGGTTCCCCATCAAATCACAACAGGAATCAACAAGTAAAATAAAAAGATCAACTAAGTTAAACATAGCTTAATTAAATTTATTAAGGAAAAAAAAAATCTTTCATCAACAATAATAGTTGTATTTTTTTATTTTAAGAAATAAGTATATTTTAATCACATACGATATTAGACTATTATTATTGACATATTCATATAAAATAATTTAAATATAATCCAAATAATCTTTTGCGTTTATTTTTTGTGTGCAGACTATTGTTTTATAAATGGTTCAAAGTCATTTGTCATAAGCGGAGGTCACCAAACATTTTTTTCACTCCTGGCCGAATAGCGGGAAATAATTACGTGCGTGGGCCGGATTATCATTCTGTACAATACTAGTAAGCCAGAATGAAAGAAAGCTCTGGGAGAAAATACTGAAATTGAGCTCTCAAGATATCATCAATGTAGAGACCGACCGAAAGTTATTTTCTGATTTCGGCCGAAGCCGAAAATAAAGACTTTCGGCCGAAACCGAAAAATACCGGAAGTTAAAGATGACTTTCGGCCGAAGCCGAAACCGAAGCCGAAACCGAAAATGAAATATTTATATATTTGGAAATTCGTTTCCGCATACCTTCTGCATTTATCGAAAATGATGGGAGAAAGTATAAACATTTACATTCTTTTTATAAAAAGTGAGATAATCGTGAATATTAATAAGTAAGCATCTAATATAACATCTTGTTAAAGATCGTTTAGTTTGTTCTTAAAGATCGCTTAAATTCTTGTTAAAGATCATTCAGTTTTTTGTTAATGATCACTTTATTTGTTCTTAAAGATTGGTTAGTTGGTTCATAAATATCGCTTATTTTGTTGTTAGAAATCGTTTATTTTGTTTTTTTAAGATCGCTTAATTTGTTCTTAAAGATCGCTTAGGTTTTGTTTAAAGATCTTTTAGTTTTTTTATTAAAGATCATTTAGCTTGTTCAAAATATCGCTAAGTTTTTTCTTAAAAATCGATAAATTTGTGTTATTAAAAGATCGTTTAGTTTGTTCATAAAGATGGATAAGTTTGTTCTTAAACATCGATGATTTTGTTCTTAAATATCGATTAGTTGTTCTTACAGATCATTCAGTTTGTTCTTAAAGATTATTTAGTTTGTTTGTATAGAAGTTTCCGTTTTTTATTAAAAATCGTTTAGTTTGTTCTTAAAGATCGCTTATTTTGTTGTTGAAGATTGCTTAGTATTTTTCATAAAGATCGCTTAGTTTTTTCTGATAGATAATTGATTTTGTTCCTTAAGATCGATTAGTTTGTTCTTAAAGATATTTTAGTTTGTTCCTGAAACATTTAGTTTTCTGTTAAAGATCGCTTAGTTTATTCTTATAAATCATTTAGTTAACTATTAAAGATCATTTGTTTTGTTCTTAAAGATCACTTAGTTCGTTCTTAAAAATCGCTTAGTTTTTTTTTCTTTAAGATCGTTTAGTTTTTTTTTCAAAGATCGCTTTATTTGTTTTTAAAGATCACTTAATTTGTTCTTAAAGATCGTTTAGTTCAGCGGTTCTCAACCTGTGGGTCGCGACCCTTTCACAGGGGTCGCCTAAGACCACCCGAAAACACATATACTCCACAGTTATAAAGTATTTATTTCGTTGGGGTCGCCACAACATGAGGAAATGTATTAAAGGGTCACGGCGTTAGAAAGGTTGAGAACCACTGGTTTAGTTTGTTCTTAAATGTCGCTTAGTTTGTTGTTAAATATCACTTTTGCTGAGAATTTGATGACCGAAAACAACAGTCACCTTCGGCCGGATGGCTGAAAGTCTAAGTCAATTACGGCTGAAACCGAAAAAAAAACCGAAAGCTAACTTTTCTCTTTCGACCGAAAACGAAACTAAGCTGAAAGTTAACTTTCAGATTCGGCCGAAACCGAAACTTGGCCGAAAGGGATAAAATGGCTACTTTCGGCGCCGAAACCGAATCCGAAATTCGGTCGGTCTCTACATCAATTTTTGGTTTATAATTGCTGCATGCAATCAAAAGAATTGTTTTCAAATGCTCATCAATCCCACTCGTTCAATGTGTTGACTTCACATACTTTATTTTTGAAAACCGTTTGCTCAAACCAAAATGTTGTTCCGTGTAATCTGTAAATGGTTGACAACTCTTCCGTTAATTGAAAGACAAATAGATGCCACAAATAAAAAAGAGAAGTTGTGATAGGTCAGTAGACTCATTCACATCAAGTTCCTACTTTCCTCATTGATCTGTAGCACTATATTCTCTCCAAATTATTCTGTTATCCGCACAACTGACCTTGCTGAAGAGCTGTTAGTTCCAAACGTGACTATTACTTTAATTTCCCTGTATGTTTCCAAAACTTTTTTCCAAACCCCCCCTTTCCCCCCCCCCCCCCCATTTCTACCCAGTTTGTGGTAGTTATCAGACTATAAACTATTAGCGGTAATATTCTTTTTATTATTTTATAATTTTTAAAAAAAAGAACAACAGCCTTTCCTAAAAACACATACTTCAGGTTGCGTGGTAGATTTTTTAAATGATGTCATTTTTTAAATTAATTATTATTTTATTACATCTTGTTTTATGATGATCTGAGTTCGAGTGTGAACCACGTTAAATTTCAGCAGTAACTTTATTTTTACCAGTGATAAACTGTGATAATGTGATCTGATCGTTCACTCAATATACATTAATAGCAAATACATGTCTGCGAAACAAAGTGACCGCAGATTTAATTATAAATGACGCTCATCGACTTTTAGTAGTTAACTTTTTTGGCCCCAGCTTAACTCGATCCCAAAAGGAACTGCGATGCGTGTAGTTAATGTATTGATTTTGTAAACTGTCTGTTTCTTTATTTTATATTAAGATACCGTATCATACGATTTTGAGACAATTTTGTAAGATTTTAGGTGTTGTAGGGTAAAGAGGTTTATATAAAACAAGAAAAAATAGAATCTAGATAAAAAAATTAAAATTGCAAATTAAAAAATTAAGGTGTTTAGCAGTCTCGAGGTCTCCGCAGGTGTGAAGATCTACTAGTATTCTAAAAATAATATTATTGAAATTTAAATTGTTTCACAACGTCTCGTGTTCCATATGTTTTGTCAATCAAGCAAGTTCCATCGGTGAGCCAGAAGAACTGGCCTCGCGGGCTGGATCCGGCCCGCGGGCTGTAGTTTGGTGACCCCTGGTCTTAAAAATGTAATTTTTGATGCAGGTAAATGAAATCCAGTTCAAATGTTATCATCCCAGTGTATTGTGAGGCTGATTCTTCTTAAGCTTCAATTTTCATTATGAACGTTTCCCTGTGTATTTGGTTATCTGCGCATATTGAATGTTTTCGACACATTAATGCAGAGCATGGACGGCATTAAATTGTGCAAACCATCTTGTGTCAGACAGACACTTTACAACAACTAGAGATTTTAAAATGTGTCGCCATGTGGAGTCAGAAATATTTTTAACGACAGTAAAAGATATTCCCAAAGAAGATATTAGCGCATTCTATCGGTGTATAGAAACTGAAAAAAAAAGGAATATATGCCATGAAAACAAATATTTTTTTATAATCCTGTTGACCACACTGGTGCTTTTAAGCTCACTAAAACAGGCTGAGTCCCGACCAAAAATATCAGGTGATCAACGTTTGAAATGTCTGAATTGGTATTCACACTTATTGAAAAATAATTTTACTCTTTAATTTTTTTTTCAAAAATAGAGCAGAGAGCATTTTTTCCCCTACTAAATCAATAAATCATTAAGAAATACTTGCTGACAGATATAATGTGTTGCCATTTCCAACATTTCCATATAGTTTGAGATGTTGTTATAAAAATGACAAAACTCCCTTAGAAATTCTAAATCAATAAATAAGTTTCATTTTTTGCTAACCAAAAAGTTTGATTTTTTGTCCCGAAATTCCAAACCTCTGGAGGAAAGAAGGCGAAGTAGGAAAAGTGACATCGAAACTCTATGCCATTATTTCTGTTCTGACCGACGATGTTTGATTAATAAATGATCTTAACACCCAAATCCTTTGCGTCGAAGCTATTATGCAGTCATGTTATTTTAATGTTCCTCTCCATACTCATGTTCTACGATAATACTGTCATGTTTCCAGTATTTGAAAACTATTCAGAAAATGTAGATTCTTTCTTGGAAAATAGACAGTATGCAAAACAATACAAGCAGCCCTGAGATGGTGAATAGCCTAGCAAAGCTCATTTTACACTCTTTTCATAACTCGTAGTTAATGTTTAAACGTATTTATTAATCAATAACTTTTTTTTAGTTATGTCTTCTCCAGCCCCAGGCCTTATTTGCTAAGTTGTATGTATGATTCTGATACAATGCTGAACCACTTCAAATCGATTACTCCACCTTATAAGTTTTCTTATGTCCCCTTGTCCCTCAACTGTGAAGGGATTTACACTATCGTTATTAGACACAGTCTTGAGTGTTTCATCTTGTGGAATTTCAAGATTACATATAATAGGTAATGATTTTCTAAAACTGGAATGGCCGATGCAATGGTGGATGTAGATGACGTTATTGCATGATAAAGAACAGTACTAGTAACTGGTAAATTGCGCTTGGATTTTAAAAAGTTGTTAATTTTGAAATTTTACCCGTTTTCATTCGTTCCAATGCCTCTTTTTGTTCCTTCTGTGCTTCACTCATAAAACTACGTTTCATTCCCGATAAAACTTAAAGTGATTTAGATCTAGAAACATATTATTTATGACACATATGTTGATATAGCTGCGATCCCTTCAAAAGGTAATTTTTTTAAAAAAATGTCTTGAAAAAAACCGAATGTTTCTACCCTTTCAAACTCAAATATGCCCCGCTGACAACGAGCATTTTGGCTGTTTTTTATATATATATCGATTAAATATGTTTGTCAGAAACAGGAAACAATATATTTTTAATATTAGAACATATAAAATTAATTAATTTAAAAAAAAATAATAATTTTCAAGGGAAATGTGTATTATTGATCTAATAAATAGCTTATTTAATGCTTATTAAATTCAATAGTAGTTGGGTTTTTTGTTGTTGTTAGAATATACATTTCTCCTCTAATTTCACTACTAAGCAGTAGCTTAGCCGGGGTCCACATTTTATTCTAATATGATTGTAACTAAAAATATATATTTTTCTTACTTTCGATTTATATCTGAGTGAAATAGATTTAACTGCAGTTACCCCCTTTACCAAGTAAACGTGTCATTTAATATTATTTTGGAATGTACAGATAATATAGAGGGTTAAAATTTGAAAATATGCTGTCCACTGAATTTTAAATAAAATTAAATTGTCAAAAACTTTTAATATTCATTAACAATGTGTGCAGCATGATGCCTTTTAAAAGAGTGCGCCTCCAAATAAGTGTGAGGAACTAGGCGATTGCCATTGCGCCACTCCTTGAAGACTTACTGACAGTTATATAAAACAATAAAAATGAAGATTGTATGATTTGCACTACTCAGTAAATAAATAAATAGTGCCAATATGTTTTAAAAAAATCGTATTTACAATAACGGATCTAAGTAAATAATCATTGGTTTTTCTGCGTTTGAAAAAAATCATCTCATTAGACCATCAATGTGATAAGGAAAGGTTTTTTTTTTCCTCAATTTTATCGTCATGCTGTCTTCTCGTCCGCAAATATTTTTATTTACTCTATAAAATATCCATGTCTCATATCGATCTTTATTTATGATGCTAGTGAAATACTATTATATAATAGTTTTTGAAACATTTTCTGTTCTATATTTCCGGTTCTACATTTTCAAGAACCACTCATGATGTTTATCAGGAATATATTAATTTCAGATTTTTTAAATATTGAGACAAAATGTATCTGCTCTGCAAAAGCTTTGTCATAATTGTTTTCTTATAGAGATTTAATGACATATTAAAGTATATATTTGAAAGTGAAATACATTTTTTATAGTGTTCATTAAATACATTTTTAAAATAATTAACTTGAAATAAATATCTTAAAACAGTTTTAAAAAATGTGTTAATAATGAAGTTCTTTTCTCTTTTTTTTTGAACATTTTTTAAGAAAAAACGAACCATTCTCGAGATTTAAATCAAATCGTGCAAGTAAAATCTATTTTTTAAGTTTTATGATTTTGTCTTTTGCTTTTTTGTGGATTTTTGTTTGTTTGTTAAGGATGAGACCAAAGCTCGTGCAGGCATAGGGGAAATCAATATCACTCCATTTGATATCTGCTTTAATTCTGCATTTAGGATACAATTGTCGGCATATAGAAAATATCTGATAATTTCTGTCAGGAACTTAGATATTGCTATAAAGCTTCTTGACATTGAATAGCTTACCATCTGTATTTGTATTTGATGCTTAGTCCAATAATCCACCTTTCTGAACTGATCAATTAGTATTGAGTAAACCATTAGGCTGGAAAGTGTTTGGGCCAGGCTCAACCTTATTTGAAGACGTTTGCAAAAGAAATGATTAAAACGTCTTCTCATTCTTCAAACCCTAGCCTGAATACCACTATTAAATCCAGGTACCAATTATATGAATTTTCTACGGCATCCGTATTTGACCATATATCTTTTAAAAACGAACACTACCAAAAGTGTTGAAAGCATTTGTCAGGTATACAAATGTGTAGAACAAAAGCCCTAAACAAATCAGGGATCACCCGTTCATAGCTTAGCTGGGCAATTCTTTTGCCTGTTCACCTCAGGAGGTAAGCGTTTTTTGAACATGTTTAAAAGTTGACATATATAATTATTATTGACACGGAAAGACCGTGCACTGTTCTACCAGCAGCTATACCGGTAAATCGAAACCACAGTCACATCTCTGATGATCAGGTCATGAAAAAATGTGAATAAATATTTTAGACCGAAATTATTCGGAAGCATATCGTAAAAAAACTAGTTTATACAATTGAAATACTTTTAAATCAAAAATAATGTATAGAAACAAAAAAAAAAAACAAAAAAAAAACAAGCAGGAATACAATTTTAATTATTTAGATATTAATGTCCTGACACGTTTTTCTATTATACTTTTGTTTAATGAATGTTTTGATGTGTCACAATCAACAGATCCAACAAAAATAGAGATATTACATAATGAGGATGGAGTCATTGGTCTAAAAAAACACTACGAATCATGCAAGAAAAGAAAATATCATGATGATTTCATTGCCATCAAAAATTTGGATGTTAGACCATTGCTTGTGGAATTTCAGGGAGATGAAATGTTTAAAGAATTAATCAGGTCAATGGTTGACCTCACTGTACTCTTGACAGTTAGTGTAGCTAAAGATGTGAACACAAGTCGTCATCTTAAAATTGGAAACGGATGGGTTGGTAGTTTAACTATATACGATAACGATGAACTCAACCCAACATGTGGATGTAAAAAGTGTATTTCATCATATAATCCAAGTACAAAATATGCTGATATCGTAATATATACGACCACAGATGTTGTTCAAAATGACAAAGAAGCTAAATCAACAACATGTAGGCTTTTTTATAATGACAGTAACAGTGAGATGACAATTATAGAGGACGTCAACGAAGAATGTGAAATAAGTGTGGAACAAAAAAAATGTAAGTTAACTTTTGTGACTTGTAATAACGAGATTATAGAAAAACTGAACGATGCATCACTTAAGTGGTTTGAAAGGTACACAAAAGTAAATAAAAGACATTATAAAAACCGCGATGAACACAAAGCAGTTATTATCGTGTCCCACATTCATGGCCTTCATAAGAGAATTTCAATAGGAAAGTGGATAGATAGAAAAGAACATATTTCTTCTGAATACGGGAAGATCACTAGATATATTTATAACACACCAACCTGTTCTGGAAGTGCTGGCGCTTATGTCTATATAGTTTCGAGAGATAAAAAAGGTTGGCTAAGCCAACATTTCCACCATGGAGTGATCAGAAACGAATATAAATTTTGTGGTGTTGGCACAGATTATGGGGCTAAAGAAAGAAAATAAATAAGAACTAACATTTGGAGACGAACAGAAAAATGTTGAAAATCCAGTACAATAGTTTTCTACTATAAATATATCAGGATTTAAATTGTCTACTATTATTTTTTTTGTAACAGTCTTTTACCCGTTAAAAAATTAATTGATATAAGAGTGATCAGATTGTATATATCAAAATCCCACTCCAGAAATATTTTATTGTATATATATTTTTAAACTAATATTTTGTTTAGAATTTATGAATATGCATATTGTACCTTTGTGCAAATTTCTTAATTTTTTTTAGTAAAACTAGAATTTTTTTGTTGTTGATGTTTTTGGTTTGTTTGGTTTTTGTTTCCTTTGTTTTTGGGTTTTTTGTGAGTTTTTGTTGCTAAAATCAATTGTTTAAAACTTAAATATTTTTATAACTTTAATATGATTAATAAAAGTAAGGACATTTGAACAAAACGCATGCATTACTTTAAATCTTGCTTTTCACTATTACATATTCGAAATCAGAGATAAGAAACCAGAGTAGACATTTTGCTTGCTAATAATAAAGTAACGAAGTAGCTATTCGTACCGGGTACCAGAAGTGAGAGGTTAGGATTTTAAAAAAAAATATTAAAACTTTTTTTTGTTGGTTTTGTTAGACAAAATGAGATATCATTTGAAAGATAATTGAATGGACTATATGTTTGAAAACTTAATTGTCCAGTTTAACTAAAATAAACTACCACAAAATGACATCCGAATAGCACTGTGTCAAAATGAACCCAGACACACAGTAACAACTTCCGCACACGGGTACAATTAGAATCAAGCTATTCGGATGTCATTTGTGGTCGTTTTATTGTACATTGCATCTCAAAATGGTGACACCAAGACAGTTGAAATGTAAAGTGACATAGGAGTTGACGTAAACATGAAAAAAGATGATTATTTTGTGTTATATATGGCATCCGCGGAAGGAAAAACTGAGACACCCGAGATTTTAATAAAAAAATGGCTGACATCAAAATGAGGACAAAGAAAGGGTTTTTTCCTTTATATATCGCATGTGAAAAGGGACATCTCGAGACGGCTGAAATTTTAATAAAAAATAGAGCTGATACAAACATTTGTAACAGCGTTGGTAATTTTCCCTTATTCGTCGCATCTCAGAATTGTCATATAGAGATAGTGGCAATGTTAACTGGCAAAGACGCTGAAATAAATATGAGGATGACTGATGATTGTTCCCCACTATATATTGCATCTCAGAAAGGATATGTAAGACAGTTGAAAAGCTAATTGAAAAAGGCACTGAGATAAAAATGAGGACAAGCGATGGTAGCACTGCCTTATACATTGCATCGTTTGAAGGAAACACTAAGATAGTGGCAATGTTAATTGAAAACGGTGCTGCTATAAACATTATGACTAAAGATGATAGTTTCCCTTTATATATTGCGTCTCAGCATGGACAAACCAAGACAGGCGGAAAATTAATTTAAAAAGGGTCCGAAATAAAAATGAAAACCTGTGATGGTGGCCATGCTTTACACATTTCAAATTTCGAAGGAAAGACTGAGACAGTAACCCTGCTAATTGAAAGAGAGGCAAACATAAAGATGAGGAATAATTATTTTAGCAGTGAGTTAGATCTCGCATATCAGAATGGTCACAAGGAGACAGCCGCATTGTTACTTGAAAAAGGTGTCAAAAGAAAAATGCTAATAAATTAATCAGGGTAGACTTTTACAGCTGCTGGATATTATTTATAAGAAACAGACAAATGTAATAATTTTAGTTGTTTATATTTGTGAACCGTACAATCTCAATTACGACCAAGACTTTGACATTATTACATTTTTTTAAAGGAGTGGGATGTCTAAAAACTAACAATAACGATTGATCTTGATTTGCTTTAAAACACTCCAAAAATGATGTCCTGTTTAAAACTAAAATTAGCTTATGTTATCTCAGTTTTGATCATTATGGATTTAATGTGTCTCTCTTTTATAAATGATACACTTACATAGCACTATGAAGAGGGAACCAATATAAAGAAAACCGTATTGTGCTAGGATCGAACTTTTGCATCTTAAAAGTCATTATCTTTAGATAGTTTCCTAAGTCCTTAATCCAGTCATATATTTAAGATACATGACAGAATGTCCATTTAAAAAGCTATATGTCGATCTAAATGTTGGATCAAATTAAACCGACGTCAATGAGCAATGAGTTTATCATCCTGTACAACATTCGATTTAAGCAATCGTTCGCATTAAATGACTGAGACATGCATTTTTTTGGAGAAAAAACAACAACTCGACAATAGGTAGAAACACCGAAACACACTCTGCTACCCCTAAGTCAAAGGCAACCAGACAGTCGTGCTTTTTTATTCCAAATTCTATTACGTATTGAAGTGTATATTTCCAGTGGCAAAACTTTTAGATGTAAAGTTCACTAATAGCTTGATAATAGTATCATTTTTTATTCTAAAAATTGAGACAATACTCTCCAAACTTTCCAACGACATTCATAAATTCTAAAGGGTACAAAAAGCCACGAAAAATTATGAATATTATTTTCTAGCTTGTGGCAGCACACCTTCAGGCTTCGCTTTTTTTATTCTATTAGTATTAATTTTTTTGTAATGTATTTACTTTAAATGAACAATTGTTCTTGACTTTACATATGTTACATGTAATAGCATGAAATAGTGATGAACTTATTTTAATCAATAGATTAGTTTTATTTTTATATTTTTTATCTTCACTTTGATTGATGAATTACAATATTTGTTTTAATGTGTTGTTAAAACATGTTTTCAAGTATTGCATATCATGTGTGTGAACAGTTTATTAATCGTTTTCATCTCTTATATTAATTTTGTTATGTATAAATAGTGTTTTTATAGAAAATAAAAAAAAACTAAAAAAACTTTTGTTATGAATTTTTACAAAATTTGTTGTATTTGTTATTTTAAATATTGTTATTATATTTCTATGAGATCCAGAACATATATAGTTTTCCTCAAAACAATAACATAATATAAAAGTATGACTGCGCCGTTTTGTATTTGCTCAAAATAAAATTTAAAATTATATATACCGTATTTTTCGCATATAAGACGCAAACGTTATAAGACGAACCCGTATAAAAGACGCAAGTTTTGACCATTTGTATAAAAATATTTTACATAAGACGACCCATATATATATAAGGCGCGGGTTAAGAAGATTTGTGTAAACAAAGCTTAAATAAAACACACGTGGCCTAGTCATCTGCAGCACTAAACAATTAATATTCAGTGGTTTTCCCTTCCTTTATCATTAATAATATTAGACCAATGTTTCATCACTTGTCGGATGTAAACAAGACTTCATTATCATTTTTAGTTTATGGGTAGATCAAAGAAATTAATGTTTATTCTTATCTGCCGCCGGGCCAAAAGCGGATGAGCTGTGTAGCTGGTAAATAGATTCTCGAAACAATAAACGCCAGATGTAAAGGCGGCTTCATTAATATACAAACATTGAAACGAAAGGATTTTAAACTTGAAGTGGCCTGCGTTGGATTGGTCTACATGGCTATTACTAAACACTGACTCATTTATTTTTACAGCTAGGGAAAAAAAAATCATGAATATCGACTGCAATAATCGCCATTCAGCACACACTGTACCGTTCGTTCGTGTTAAAAAAAATGCTTAGCATATTTTCGCAAATATAAGAAGCACCCATATTATATGAAATGGGGGTTTTAACTATTTGTGTAAAAATTATTTTACATAAGACACACTCATATTACGTAAGACGCACCCTGGGTATGTAAAACTTTGTATAAGACACGTCTTATATACTCTAGAATATGTTATGGAGTTAACACCAAATGTGTGGTCTCCGTAGAAGTTATTTACAAAATATTTAAACTGCATAACTAGCCGTGGCTTTATAAATATGTGGCTATAAAAATACACGTCACCGAGAGTTATAACGTGTAACTCTTCCAGTATTTTATAATATAAAGAAAATATATCAGAATATAATATACTACTTTTCAGTTAATTAAAAAAAAAAACAACAGTGTTTCATAATATAAAAAGGGATTTTTTTTAAAAACAAAATTATATTTTAAAAGGAATAAAAATGGAGTTAATCATATTTTAACTTGCGATTTAAAAGGATTGGTAAACTCCTGTCTTGAATTCTTAACGAATGAATGAATGCAAACTTTACAATGAATATTTTTTTTAATGTAATAAATCATCTATCAAAACTAAGTTTGGGAAACCCTTAAAAAAAAGAAACGGAATAAAACATCAAACGCATCGTCAAGTCGACTTAATCGGGGAACAAACAACGGTTTTATCAGAATGATTTAATACAAAACAAATTACACTTACCAGAAATAAGGACAGAAAGAGGAAAGTGGCATGAGATGAGTTGGTGAGAGATTAAGAACAGGTAACATGGAAGGAGAGTGGACAAATAAGTCCACCGCGATTGGTAATAAACGAGATATGGCGCAAGAAAAAAAGCTTCAACATGTGAATGAGAGAATAATAGTCATGTCATATGCTGTCAAGTTTACCCAAGTCTTTCCTCATTTAGAATTTATTTCTTTGGATATAATATGCACGATTCTTATCATTTTTACAAAACTAATGCACACATAATTCCTAAATGTTGGGTAGTTATATAAAATGAAACGACTTACTGTACGAGGTGAAAAGGAAATTAAATAGTTCCAATTTTAAAAACACAAATTTGACTTTGAAAATGCGTGTATAATTTCAAAATGATATGCAGATACCTTCATAATAATATGGTTCCATTTATTAATAAAAAAAATTTTTATTTTTTGGTGAAGATTTTTAGATATTAATTTCTATCATTTAAAAAAAAAAAAATTACATTCATGAAAGAAATGAAGGAGCATTTTAAATGAAAAAAAATGTTACATATTATTCTAAAGAGGTAGAATTTGTATCCATTGTTAACAAACGTTGTTAATCTAAAAAAGCAAAAAACAACCTCGATTCCTTCGCTTGCCCTTATCAACCTGATTGTTTTATATACACTCATTAGTAAAAGGTAGTCTGCATGATTAAATAGAGGATACATTGTAGGAAACATATGAGGGAAATACAAGAGGAAAGAGGACAGCAAATGTTTTGAGCATCAGGTGACATAAATCCTAGTGAAGCAATTGCACACATTGTCTTTTTTTATAATATGGCTATAGTAATATTCATCCTTTGTTTTTTTTATTGTTTTTTTAATGAAAATTTTAAAACAATGTTGACAATTTTAAAAGCATTACGATTCTTTACTGGCAAAAAGAATATTTAACAAAATATGAAAATATTTCCTAGATATTTTAACAAATAGAGTATTTTTCACAAAAATGTGTGCGCCATTTATAAAACAAATATTAAAGAATCGTATTAAAATAAATTTAAAAAATATAATGTTAATCTAGGAAATCAGTCTAATAAGTGTGTAAGGAATATACAATTTCTTTCACATTGTTATGTAGTCCTTGTCCCATGAAACACATTTTTTCTCAAGCGTGTTAACCGTATTATTGTCATCGGGATTTCCAATGTCCAACGCGTCGTACTTGCTGTTTGTAAAATTAACGTGTTGCACACACGACCTCTTGACTTGTCTTCAACGACAAAGGATTCGTTCAAGGCGTCGTAGAGACTGCTTCCTATATTCTGTCGCTCGCTATATCTCATTGGTACTTCAAGGATAACATCATGTGCATTTTTGTTCTGGTTAATTGATTCGATCTCTTCATAGATCAAACAATTGTGTAATATTGTGTGTTTCGTATTGGCTATAGGACCTATAAAACAGAAAGAAGCAAAATGAGATTAATAATTTTCTAGCAAACATTTTATTTCATGTAAAAAAAAATATTTTAAAAAGACAATATCTGCTTTTCGATATAAACACTTTTAAATTAAAAATGTATTTAAAGACGTATATTTTAAGACAGATCCCGAGAAATGAAGGGGGTTCTTATGGTAATTTGACGCAAAAAAGTGAAGTCAATAAACACATTTAACCTAAGTTCAAACATTATATACGCCACCGTTACTCTTTTGCACTCGATAACTCTCACAATGACAAATGATTGCTTTTTTCCAATGACACGTAACCAGTTATTGTTTGCACATAAAATTTGGGATTTATTTATTATTACGAATTTTGCGGTTTTTTTAGTTGATAGCTCTATAACAGGACATGTTTAACTTCTGTAAATACAATTTAAAAGTCTCACCTTTTAGTAGAGGACTGAGCATTATTAACGCACAGCCCACGTTATGATATACGTTTAATATTCAAGCTTCCACATACCTTGTTCCACTATCAAAATCTGAACACTTTGAATTTGTTACACTCAAAACATAGATTGTGTCAGGAAATCCACTAAACTGCTAATGTAAGTTAAACAAAAATGAGATGATCTCAGTCAAGCACTAAAGAAACTTACTATACATAGTTGGTTCAGTTAAAAGCATATTATGAACTATAATTTATGGATATTGGAACGGGACAATTTTTTTCTTGTTGGTAATATGAAAACAAGTATGAATTTTTAAAATAAAAACAGTATTGAAACTTAATAAGAAAGCTAACCAATAAAGGTGTATACAAATATATATATATTAATAAATCTCTTAGCACTAGCGCAATCAGTTTACTTAAAAACGATTTTACCATTTTGTTCCGTTCTTTTTCAATGTTCTGAAAACGTTTAGCTATGTGTCTTGCCTCTAAGAGTTTCCAGAATATGTTTTTAACAACCTGAAGTGGAAAACTTTCTTTTCATTTATGAAGTCAATTTATCTTTCTTGCGAGGATAATGTAGGGTAGAGTAAATACACTTTAGTGTCAATAAACTCTCTATAATAAGGGTTTCATATTCGGACACACAAATATTAAGAGCTTGCCTGAGAATTTCCAGAAGATGACACCTGAGGTGGGTGACAAGTATAATTGGCTTTTTTTAAAACATGTTCGCCTCCAGATGACACATATTGCCTGTCCTGCAAATATTTTTGTTATCTAATGATCTAATAAATTGTAGCATTATGGACTTATTCATCCTCGGCTGCTCTACTAACCATCACTAGTATCTAAAGTTAATTTTCAATCCTACCCATCATCAGTATTTAAAGTGTAATTGCTCTCCATTAATCGTCAGTATTTAAAGTTGTTTGTTGCTGAGCATTTTTGTGTAAACCTAGACCCTGAATAAAGACACACAATAGATTTAATATACTATTAAACTATTAGGCTTATATAAAATATACTATTTATAGCTGCATTAATATGTTAGAGATGCTAAAACAGGCGTATGCAGTGACATAGGGGTGAGCCGACGAAACAAAACAAGGGGTACCAATAACATTTTTTAACATGAAAATCGAAATAGTGTCATTTAGTTTAAATGTTGACAGTTGTAAGAGAACTACGAAAAAAAAATAGTAACAAAATAACATAAAACCGTAAACCCTGAAAAAAGTAGCCTAATGAAAAGCTTAGTGCAAAGTTAATCTAAGTCTTTGTAGTAGACAGAAGCGGATCATTTTAATTTTATTGATAATCGTAGGACACATATGTGACATGGATATATATTTCTTCTATTTAAAAAAAATGTTATCTAACAATTCAAAGTTTTAAAAATAAAAATA